CCCGTGTGCATTTAATATTATGCACATTTCACAGCTGAGGAACAAAAGTATCTGAGATGATAAGTAAACTCAGCATGGGAATTACAATAGCACGGGTGTGTTTCACCAAATTCGACCCTAGATGAGGATGACCCTCTATTTCAATTTAAAAATAATACGGGGAAGAACAGATAAGGGAACGAAGATGCAAATTTACGGAAGAGTGGGAAGCCAAAAGCTGAAGAATTCTTGCTGGAATAGGAACCTCCTTCCAGGAATCTTGGGCTTCCCGGCCCCGCCCCACCCCCTCCAGTCCCGTCCCGTCCCTTTCCTCCCCTCCGGTCTGCGCAGATGCGGCCTCTCAGTCCCAGTTCCCGCCCTGCCTCGTGACGCCGAGGCGTGAGGCGGGACTTCTGGTAGCGCCATGGCCACGTGGTTCATGGCGGAAGCTAGCTTTAGGTCGCCCTGGCAACAGTTCTCACTCTTGCCAGCCCCCTCCGGATAATAAGTCCCTGCGCACCCACCGCCCAGAATCTATCTGCCAGCTGCGTGCCCAAGAGGTGACTCGGGTTCATTTCGGGAGTGAGGGAGGAACCTAGACGCCCCTGGCGGTTTGTGATCCCGGAAAAGCCAAGGGCCCTGGCGGCCACGCTGTGATGCTTTGACATTCGGGATTACTTGTGAGAGCGCGGACTCGTTCCAGAGCGATAGGCCTTGAATCCTAACCACCTGGGTGGCCTTTTAAAGCATTCTCATTCTCTGCCCTGCACCCCCACACCAATGAAATAAGAGTTCTTTCACCCAGGGCGTCGAGGTGCTTTCGTAAATCTCCTCACGTGATTCTGTGCTGAAAACCAGTTAAGCAGAGTTAGTCAAGTCCATCCAGCCCAGACCCAACTAGAACATGGCTCAGGGCCTTGAAGGATAGTGGAGATATCAGGCCACCTAATTGATTACGTTGGGATTTTCTATCTTTGCCCTTGCACTCTGTTTTCTGTGGGACATCAGAGGTTCGGTGGAGGTTCTCCTAGAACTTCTTAGTCATTTGTGGCTTCTAGCGTTTGAGGTAAGGCATATCTTTATCCTCTTTGTCTCTGATGGTTGAACCAGTGAACAAAGAGGTGCCTTTCAGCTCTGAAATTTAAGATTCCTTTGGCCAAGATGGAGATGATTGTGAACCAATTTCTGCTTTTCATAAATTATTTTTAAAACTATATCACACGTGTTTCTCCCTTTAAGTTAGAATGTTACTTGAAAATCAAGAGATCAGTAACACAAATAACTCTCTTGGAGTTGTTTACTCTCTGAGTTCCCATGAATTGTTGGATGAGGATATGCTTTGTTGTTGTGTGCTATCAGACTCATAGCTGAGCCTTAAGCAGGTTTTCAAAAGCTATAAATCATATGAGAGATTGCCCAGCTGTCTCCCGGGAGCAGCTAGTGGATTCGAACTGTATGTCTTCAGGTTGGCACGGCAACCCCTTACCGCTAAGGCCACCAGAGCTCCCTGAGGCTATCCTTTAAAAGTACAACTTAAACACTGCAATTTATCAGAGTAACAGCCAGCCCCTTTGGGATGGCAATGTGAGCTGAACTATATTTAAAAAGCTTGTGGGTTAGTAACTTTAGGCTTGGATAACTAAAGGCAGTAGCATAGTGTAGAAATCCCGTTAGTGGGTTTATTGCTGTGCTGAGAAAGCAGACACACCAGCGCTCCAGGGAGAAATTGTCATCCTGTAACTATTTTACAGATGTTAAAGGATGCAATTTGTTTTCCCAGATTCAGCATGTAGGTTTTTAAGAAGGCTAAAGGGCAAGAGGGTAGAGGCTGGACGGTTGACAGACTAGGTGCAGAACTCTTGGGATGACTTCTCTACAATAAACTCTGTGGCTGTGGAAGAGTTGGACAAGTGAAAACAGCATAACTATAATTGATCAAAGGCCATATGAATTGACAGTGTCTTAGATTAAAAACATAGTAAGGAGTAGTGGGTAAGGAGTTGTGCTGCCAACCCAGAGGCAGGCGTTATGAATCCACCAGTTGCTTCATGGTAAAAAGGTGAACAGTCTCTTGTGCAATTTACAGGCTCTGAAAACCCCTTGAAAGGTCAGCTATGAATGAGCAAGTGCTTCCTGAAAAGAGCCCTTTAGAGAATAATATGAGTTACCATCTATTCCATTGTCACCCCTCCTATACTTCAGATAGAGGTAAGACGAGTGTTAAATAGGAATTACAAATAATTGTGAACATCCAACCATGAGAAGTGTTTATTAGCTGTTATTTTTATGCTAGAAGGAAAATGGGAAATTTATAATGAGTGGGTTGACGACTCTATGTCTACTAATACTTTAATAGTGCACACATGCAAACAAAGTTTGTTGCATACAGCTACCTGAGTGTGTTAATGTATTATTTCCAAAGATTATGTGTTGGGTTTGGGGGTTTACAGGACAGAATACAGTAATTAAGTATCAAAATAAGTGAGAGATAAACATGGAACGATCATGCATGTGTTTTTAGAAGAAGGAAAACTTGAAATACGAGTTCTTGGATCTTTTGGTGGTCTTAACTACTTTGAGCTAGGCTTGCTTTGTACTCATTTGCTCTTTGTATGCAGTGTTTACTGTCTTCCTTGATGGTCGCACTCAGCTTTGTTGTATGGAGGACATGTGCAGTGAATTGAACTTCTTTGTTTCCTCTCTGAAACGGAAATATCATTGTATCCTCTTCAGCTGTCCAGTCACCCAATGGGTTTGTGAGTTAGGGAAATTTTGTTTTTGTGGCGCCTCATATTTCACTTCTGTTTCTGATCCTAGTCACATGGAGATTCGATGAACTTGCATAGAAATCCATTCACAAACTCATCACCCTTTTTGACAAATTCAACAATGCCCTTCTGTGGGCAGAAGGTTGTTTGTATGGAGAAAAGAAAAGGGGATAAAAAGGAGACTTGCTGGCCACATCTTTTCACTCTTTCTCCTTCCTGCTGGGCACTCTTGTGTCATTACTTCTTAATGCATCACCCAGAAGGGGGTAAGTTGGGGTTTGGGATAGAGGAAATGAAAATGAAGTAACATTTAGGTCTTGGAGCTTGTCTGCCCATCAGTTTTTGCGTTGGCACATTGGTTAAGCACTCAGCTGTTAACCAAAAGTTTGTCCATACCAGCCCACCAATGGCTTTGCAGGAAGTCGATGTGATAATCTACTTCCAGAAAGATTACAGCTTGGGAAACCTCAGAAGCCGTTTCTCCTCTGCCCTGCAGGGTTGCAGTGCATTGGAACTAATAGGTTTGCATTTGGTTTTGTTCCATTATAGGTGGGGAGGAATGGGCTTTGGTGACACAGTGGCATGTACGCTTGTACAGGGCCAACGAAAGGGGGAGCTTGGGCTCTAGTACATAGTACTCCAAGCTTTAGTACTGTGCTATTTAGTGAAATGGGAGAGGAGGTGGTGAGAACATTGCATACTTCCAGACTCAAGCCAGATAAATTTTTTTATGTGTCTTATTTACTGGGATGTACCAGACAGAGCATCTTTAGAGTGCTGTTTGACCAAATTTATGTAATCTTCTTCCTATGACTTCATCTGTGGGAGATGCTGAACTCCTACCTTGAAAGAGTTACACAGAGAGCCTCATTTGCTGCCTCAGACTGTCTAGTGGCTCAGAGAACCCTGTTGACAGGACCTTTACAGAAAAGGCTTTGCCTTGGTGGCTTCAGTCATTGTCAGTTATTTCCTAGCTGACTCTGCTTCTACCCAACAAGCAATTTTCTTGTGTGGTGCTTCATTTTCAGAATTTTTGGAAATAAATTTCAAAATTTTGGAACTTGAGGCTCCAGTTACAGGGGGTATTACTGTTTTGTGGGAATGTACCTTTTTATTTTCTGGTTATGGACACACTTGCTAGATTCTATAGATCCAGATCTAAATGTGCAGTAAAAACATTATCAATAATACTCTTTGTGTTTCACACTATTCTTTATTCTTATTGTGTTTCATACAATCATTCCCATGTATTGTTCTTGTTGTTGTTATGTGCCTTCGAGTCACCTGCGACTCATAGCGACCCTGTGTACAACAGCCCTAAACCCTGCTCTGTTCTGTGCCAATCTCACTGTCTCTGATAGACCCACCCCCACCCTGATTACCCAAGTCACTGTATCAATCTACTTCATAGAGGGTCGTCCTCTCCTGCACTGTCCCTCCACCCTCCCAAGCATGACGTCCCTCTCCAAGGACTGGTCCATGGTATATTCAATATTCTTCTCCAACACCACAGCTCAAAGGTATCAATTCTCCTTCTGTCCTCCCTAGACATTGTCCACCTCTCTGATGCATAGCAAGTAATTGCAAAGACCATGGCCTGAATCAGGCACACCTTAGTCTCCAGAGTGACACCATTGCTCTTCAGTACTTTGGAGAGGTCCTTAACAGCCGACTTTCCCATCACAATGTTTTATAAAATCAGTCACCATTGGGCCTTGCCCATCAATACCCAATCTTTTCAGGCCTTCACTGGATTCTTCCCATTTCCTTCACCCTCTACCTCTACCCACCAAACTGTGCAGCCTTATGGTTTTGCCCCTACCCATCCTCGCCCCTCCACTCCTACCCCTTCCCCCCCTTGGGTCCCCATACATGTTTTACTAGTTAATCCTTCTGTTTTTACAATAATGGTCTTATGCAGTATTTGTCCTTATGAGACTGAGAACAAACCAATATAAAATAGAAAACCAAAACACTGTCAATGATATCACTACCTTCCAACAAAGCCGCATCATATCTTTGTGGAATTTTTGATAGCCCAAAATGAAAATAGCCACATTTTCTCCAAGGAAAACTGCGATGCTCTTGTCTTCTTGCCTTCATGTATATTTATGCATTTAAAACTGTCTTCCAGGATAAGCACAGATTCATGGGCGAATGAATGCAGGTTTTGAGCAAGGCTGTATGGGAAAATATATCTTTCAAGTCTGGAGGCTCTGTCTTTTGCCTGTAGGCCCCGGCAGTGTTTAGTGAATGACCTCAACCCTGTTTTTTTCCTTCCTTCTCTGGTGGTTGAGGATGGACGGACAATGAATCTGGTCTCTGTCCTTGCTTTGGGCTCAGCTGGCCAGTGACTGTGATGCATTGTGCTCTCTGGGGATGGTTGCCCAGTTCGTGTTGCACGGATCCCAGCCTCCCTGACATTGCCAACCCCTTTTCTCTCTGCTCCATCATCTCAGCAAGCGGAAAAGTGCTGTTTGGCCCTTAAAGGCTGTGCCATTTCAGCAGAGACATCCCAAGGAGGTAGCAAATGGAAGAGAAAACTAAAGATCACTAACAGGCATCCAAAACTGGTACCCTTGGCAGCATTGTACACCGAAATGGCAAGCAGAGTGCAGGTGTATGAATGTGTGGCTCATGGGTAGACTTATTCCAGATGTTGTCTTTTATGACTATAGGATAGTCTTTTCTTATCACGTCCTTGAGGATTCTGTGTGGAAAGATTAACTAGCTTTAAAAGTTGGCAGGACCCAGCTGTAGATGGTTGTCATGTTCCCTTGGGATTTAACTAGAATAGTGAGCTGGGACAATCTATTCCTTTGTCCAGGGATTAGATGCTAAGAATCTTCATCTGCTTCCTGCCATCTTGTCACTGACCAACGTGTAGCAGCTAGCAGGCCTCAGGGACATATAGGAGACTGCATGTGTTCTAGGGAGCTCTCATGGCATGTCTGTAGAGAATTGTCCTGCTCACCTAAAGAAGTATCTCTCTGGAGTGGTTTGAATCCACCAGTGACTCTGTAGGAGAAAGATGAGCAGTCGCTTCCTGTGCTGTTTTATAGCCTCTGAATACTAAGGGTCAGCTATGAGCTGCTTCCTGATCTATGGCAGTGAGGTTGGTTTTTAACTAGTTGATGTATTCTAAGTTTGCCAATGGATGCAGGAGGCCTTTGTTTCATGAACATCTATGTTGATGTCTCACTTTTTTTTGGAGGTGAAAGTAGAGATAATTTATTTGATAATTTGAAAGTATATTCCAGAGGAAAGAAAATGATCCCTCTCTGAGAGGAAAGGAATGGACAGATATCTAGGTAACTTTCTAAGAGATGAGCCAATGCCCTTCAGTCTTCTTGGTGCTGTTGTGTTCATGTTGATTGGCTCCTAGCAACCCCGTGTACACTGGAAGGAGACACTGCCCAGGCCTGTGTCCCCCTCACAACGATTGCTGTGTTTGAGCTCACTAGTGCAGCCACTGTGCCAATCTGTCTGAATGTCTTTCTCTTTTGTCACAGACCCTACACTTTACCAAGTATGATGTCCTGCTCTAGGTTCGTGCTGATAACACACCCGAAGTATGCAAGACAAAGAATCGCCATACTCACTGCTCAAGTGCACGGTGGCTGCACTTTTTCTAAGATGGATTTGTTCATTCTTTTGGCAGTCTCTGGAATATTTAATCAGACACTATTCTTCTTGAGCCCCCAAATATTTTGAACTAGTAACCAGGATTGCTTTGCGTAATAGTTGCGGTTCTCCTATTTTCGCTGGTCTTATTCCAAGCCTAGGGAACTCTCGCCACACTACAAAACCAAATGCTGCTTGATTGTGGGTGTTCAGATCCACCAGTGACTCTGTAGAAGAGATGAGTATTCTCCTCTTCATGGTTTACAGCCTCAGAAACCCAATGGAGGGTCACTGTGAGTTTGAGTTTACTCCACAGCAGTGGGTGTGACTGATTCCACGCCTACTAATGAGTGAAAGAGCCCTGGTGGCATAATAGGTTACATGTGGGACTGCTAACCGGAAAGGTGGTCTGCAGTTTGAACCCACTAGCTTCTCCTCGGGAGAAAGGCTGTGGGTGAGCTTGCTTTAAATGATGAATGAGATGTGTAAGAATCATGTTCCTGTGTATTCAGTTCCCTTTGGGAAGTGAGGCTCAATTAATATGCTCTACAACTTAATTAAGACTCCCCGAACACTTAATTGTGCTCATGAGAAATCTATACTGAGACCAAGACGCTGTCATCAGAGCAGAGCAAGGGGACACTGCCTGGGGATCTACTTCCAAGAGTAGCCATTGCAAAGGCTGTGGAGTGATGTCTGCTTTGACACACATGGCTTGACATGAGTTGACGTCAACTCCACAGCCTTTGGAAGCTCCCCCCGCCCGCAAAATCACTCAAGACAAAACCAAACCCACTGTCAATTCTGACTCTTAGCGACCCCGTAGGACAGAGTAAAATCACCCATAGAGTTTCCAAGGCTGTAAGTCATTACAGAAGCTGAGTCTCACATCTTTCTCCCATGGGATGGCTAGTGGATTCCAACAGTTGGCCTTCTCGTTAGTAGCCAGGCACTTACCCACTGCATCACCAGGACTCCTGTAAATCACAGCCATTGGCTTTGGGCAGCATGAGCTGCTCACTCCCATGGGTCTAAGCTTGAGCTCCATACAGTAGAGCCTCTCCATGGCCATTTCCTTAATTCTGAAGAGAACGTGGATCTGTGATTTAGCTTTTACACTTTCCGACTCTGCCTCATGGATGTGTCTGTTGATGTGGTCTGAAGCATATTTTAGGAGGTGTGGAAGAATGGATTCCAATCTCTTCATTTCCAGAAGACTTGCAGTTGTCTCATAAACTTTTCTAACCTAATTCTAGCCTCTTACTAATCTGTAAAACAAATTTGATTAAAGCACACAGAGTTCACTTTAATGTCATTACGTGCTGCAGACGCTCAGAAAGCAATTGTGATTTTAGCCATAAGGAAATGAATCCTGGCTACAGTGAATTAGCCACCCACAGCCTGACCCTTCCAGGTCAGTGCTCAAGTATGTAATGATAGCAGCCATCCTTTACCTTGTCTTAGTGATAAGTCCCTTCATTGTAGGGGCTGTCTCATACCCTCTTTCTCTTGCCTGGAACAGAGTCCTGTGATGTAGTACTAACTGAAAGGTTGACAGTTCTAACCTTCCATCCGCAGTGGGCTTCAGTTAAGGTTTACAGCCTCAGAAACCTGCTAGAGGGTTGTTTGTTAGGAGTCAGACTTACTCAGTGACATTGAGTTTGACTTCCACTAGCCTGGGAGTCCTGGCATAGTGATGAAAGTGTATTCTCTGCTAACCAGACATACAGTTGAGTCATATCCACCTTCTCTCTCCAAGGGACAAAGGTGACAATCTGCTTCCATAAAGATTTACAGCCTCAGAAGCCCAATGGTACAGTTCTGCTCTACAGGCTTGTTGGGAATCAGAATTGTTTGTGGGTTGTCAAAGATTTCATCTTACTTGGATCCATAGTCAGCACCCTTGGTACCAGCAGCCAGGAAGTCAGGAGATGTAGTGCATTGAGAAAGTCTGTTGTCCAAAGTCCTGAAGAGCAGTGATGTCCGTTTAAAGATTAAAGTACACCTGATCCAAGCCATGATGTTTTCAGTCACTTGCTATGCATCTGAGAGTTGGACAGTGAATAAGGATGACAGAAAAAGAATCGATGCCTTTGAGTTGTGGTGTTGAAGAAGATTGCTGGATATCCCATGGACTGCCAAAAGAACAAACATGTGTTTTGGAAAAAAGTACAGCCATGATGCTCCTTGGAGACAAGATGGCAAAGCTTAATCTCACATTCTTTGGGCATGTTGTTAGAAGAGGGACATCATGCTTGGAAAAATTCCAGGTTTGAAAAGAGAGGAAGACCTTCAGTGAGATGGTTGCACACAGTGACTGTGACAATGGGTTCAAGTGTGTCAGATATGATGAGTATGGCATAGGACAGGACAGGGTTCAAATCCGTTGTTCATAGAGTCACTGTGAGTCTTGCTCGAGTCAATGACAGTTAACAAGAATTTTGGAAAGCACATAGCAGTTAGATGTTCCAGTGATCACTCAGGTTTAAAGCCTTTATGTTGCAGTTTTAAAGTAATGTAAACTAATTTTACACGTGTATTTTCACTGCATTCATTAGCTCTTTGGTTTATATTCACTGCAGTGATGTATTTTTTTTAAATTTAGAATAGGAAACAGGAGATGTAGGCTATATTAAAGATAAATTTACAGAAGGTCATGTCACCTCTCCCGGAAATACTCTACTCACAAGCTTATTATATAGAAAACTCTGAATGGGTTTTCTTTACTCAGTCTTCTAAGACTGCCCATCTTTCTTCCTTGGAGTTACTGATGAGTTCGAGTCACCAGAGACAAGCAGTGTTTACATTAGTAGTACAACTCTGTGCAACTTGACTAGACAGCTCACCATTTTGTTAACATTAACCACGGGAAAGCATTCATGGAGATTTTTAAGTGCTGCCTTAAAGTAAGAGAAGATGGAAATGTAAGACTCCTTCAGAATCTGATTTCCAAGATTTATAAGGAGCTCTTTGACCTATGTCCCTTGGGAGCTTCTTCACCACCACCACCACCACCACCACCACCACCACCACCACTTCTTCTTCATTTTAGAAATTATTTTTGTTTGAGTTATTTCTTTCTTTTTAAAGCCCATGTTAGTTTAATCAGGATTAGTAACTCTGAGCCACTGAACAGAAAAAAAGTCTAAATAGAATTTTTTTAAAGGGACAGCCACAGATTAAATGTCAGCATTTAGCATTTCTTTTTTTTAATTTAAATTTATTATTCATTTCAGTAAAAAATTTACAGAGACTTTGGATTTCCATTCATTCATTGTTGCACTTTTCTCCCCTCCCAACCCTCCCCCCTAGTACACTACCCTCTTGGAAAAGTAAAAGAAAGATTCTTTCCTTGTTTTACAAACCCTCCCCTAGGTCCACTCCACCATGTAGCCTTCTCTCTAGATTCCTGTCATGACAAAAATACCTAATCACATATCCCTTTTAAACAGTTTTCTCCCTTATCTGTTTCAATGCAGTATACAACCCATCTTTCTCAGTCTCCCCTCAACCCCGATGTCAGTCCTGTTTTACAACAGTGGCACCATGCAGTATTTGTCCTTTTGTGACTGAGATACTTCATTCAGAGTAATGTCCTCCAGGGTCACCCATTTTGAATAATATTGCATGAGTACCTTGTTTTTCAGTGCAGCATAGTATTCCCTTATGTGAATATACCACAGCTTCTCTATCCATTCGTTTGTTGATGGGCACTTAGGTTGTTTCCAACTCCTTGCTATTGTGAACAAAGCCGCATTAAACATGGGTGTGCATATATCTGCTTGGGTGTCAGTTATGGTCTCTCTGGGTCAAATGGTATCTCTGCAACTTTTTGAGAAAGCGCCATACCGCGTTCCACAGTGGTTGCACCATTTTATACTCCCACCAATAAGGGTTCCAGTTTCTCCACAACCTCGCCAGCCTTTGTTGCTTGCTGCTCTGTTAAATTTTGTTCTTCTGACTGGGTTGAGATGGTATCTCATAGTTGTTTTAATTTGCATCTCTCTCAGAGCTAGGGATTTTGAACATTTGTTCATGTGCTTGTTGGCCATCTGAATGTCTTCTTTGGAGAAGTGTCTGTTTGTATCCTGTGCCCATTTTTCTATTGGATTACTTACTTTTATCTTGTTGTGGTGCTCAAGTATTTTATAAATTCTGGATGTAAATCCCTTATCTGATATGTCGTTACCAAATACTTTTTCCCAGTCTGTGGCTTCCCTTTTTACTCTGTTAGAGAAGTGTTTGGATGTGGATAGGGATTTGATTCTTAGAAGATCCCATTCATCTACTTTATCTTCTCCTGGTTGTAAGTTTTTCAGGATACTTGGAAGATTGTTTATATTGTGAATTAGGACTCCTGGGTTCTTCCAAGCTTTTCTTTAATGAAGTTTATAGTCATTGGTTTTAGTCCTAGGTCCATGATCCACCTTGAGTTGGTTTTAGTGTATGAAGTGAGCTGTGGGTCTTGCTTGAATTTTCTGCAGATGGTTTTCCAATTTTGCCAACACCATTTATTAAAAAGGCTGTCGTTTCCCCACTTAACTGATTTCATCTCCTTATCAAAAATCAGTTGACCATAGATAAATCAGTTGACCATAAATAGATGGTCTGATCTCTGGGTTCTCAATTCTATTCCATTGGTCCATGTGTCTGTCATTGTACCAATATCACATTGTCTTGACCAACAAGGCAGTGTAGTAGGATTTGAAATTAGGGAGTGAGTTACCTCCTACATTTCTTTTATTTTTAAGGAGTGTTTTGCTTATTCGGGGCTTCTTTCCATTCCGAATGAAACTGGAAATTGCCTTTTCCATCTTGTTGAAGAAGCATTTAGCATTTCTGTGCAAATAAATCCATAAATAGTAGACAGGTTGTTAATGGCAAAAGAACCATTCTCTCACCACAGGAGTACTGTCCTGAAAGATTCAGCATAGCTGGCTAGCCCACAGTCTCCTGGACCAGTCTCTCCAGCTTGAGCAAGCAGGAGGGGTGGTGCATGGTGAGAGAGGCTGGTGTGTGCCACGAGAGGCTCATTGCAGTCACAACCCAAACAAAAAAGAGACCCACCTGGAAAGAAAGCCCAGGGCACAAGCGAGGCTGGCTGGAGTTCTACTAGAGAGGAGGCATGATAAGTTACATGTTAGGCTGCCAACAGAAAGGTCAGCAGTTTGAATCCACCAGCAGCAGGAGAAAGATGAGGCCATCTCCACCATTATGATTTGCAGCCACAGAAACTTAATGGAGGGTCTTCGTGAGTTAGAATTGACTTGATGGCATTGGGTTGGGTTGGGTTCAGTATTGTTTTTCTCCAAGACCCTTAACTAAGGGGCACATAGTAAAGGTTTTTGAGTCAGAAAAATGTATTCTCTTCAGGAGTTGGAAAATCGAAGCATAGTTTAAATAGGCATTGGCATGAGGTAAGGATTAGTGAGTGAATCATTGTAAATTTTTACTTCAGTCTCTCTGTGTTGTTTTTAACATGCGTGCTGTGAGCTGCCATCAAGTGGGCCCCTTGGCAATTCCACTCATAACAGATCGGGCTACTACTAGGTCCTATGCAATTCCCAGGGTCAGGTGCAGATTGACCTATTGTAATACATAGGCTTTCCTCTGACTGATTTTTCAGAAATCGATCACCAGATCTTTCTTCCTAGTCTGTCTTAATCTAGAAGCTCTATTGAAACTTGTTAAGCTTGTTAACACACAAACTTCCACTGAGACCCATAGTGTCTGCAGTGAGATGCATTGGCCAGGAATCAAACCCAGATCTCTCTCATGAAAGGCTAGAATTCTACCCCTGAACCAACTCTGCCCCCATATACATAAAGTCGTTTGTTTGAACTACTTGACAGCTATATGGTTCTTTTCAGAGGCTTTATTTTCATTGGGGAAGCTGTTCATTGATTGTCAAACCATACAGTGGTCTGTGACCCATTTAACATCCCAAAATGGATCTCTCATTTGCGTACTGCGATCCTAACCTGTGTGTCAGCACCATATAGACATAATGATGGGGCATCTTCTAAAGGGCTGGTGCTGCAAACTGAAAAACAGTGTGTATGTCACATACCTGTACTGATCCCATGTTGCTACTGTGTTTCTGTCCTAGATTCATTGCCTGGTAAGCCTGTCACCATCAGGGATGGCGGAAAAGGTAAGAAATTTTGTTTTTATAAAAACTCATGGGGAGGGAAGCAGTACATTTTAATCTTAAATCTTCGTGTTCTTATTCCATATGATGGAGAGGATCAAAGAAATAAATACATCCAAAAATGCAAAGTCAATATTCGGTTAGATGCTGCTCTGCTGGAAAGCTTTTCTCTCCAGGCTGCTCCAGGAACAGGATGGCTAGAGGCAGAGTAAGAACCAGACTCTTCTCTACTCGGCAGTCCATGCAGCGCCCAGCAACTGCTTATAACTGGCAGCTAGCTGATTATAATGGGAAGGGATCACCAAGGTGATGAACTTTGGGCTCTTATCTGTCCCTGAATTATATCTAAAAATGCCACTGTCTCCATTTTACATTTTATAAGGTATTGTAGCCTTAAACTAATTGTCCTGTGTGTACCTCATGCACATGTATTTCCAAAGCAAGTATACTATGGATGCTTTGGTGGTCTAGTGGTAAGAAGTTGGGCTACCTACCCAAAGGCAGGTTGTTTGAAACCACCAGCTGCTCTGCAGGAGAAAGATGAGAAATCTCCTCCCATGAGATTTACTACTTCAGAGAACCTGCTGGAGGGTCAGCTATGGATTCGTCCCAACTCGACGGTGCAACAACAAAAACAACAGTTCATGTAATACCTCTTGTAGGCATGGACCTCTCTTACACCTTTTTGGACTCTACAGCATCCATGTATAGAGAGGCATGTAGAAGTCATGCCTTTCCCATCAGTAGATACCTTGCTTAATTAATGAAACATTTGATAGTTTCTCTTGAAGATGAACTATTTCATGTTTACCCTATTCATTTTATAGGCAGCTTCCTCAAGTGATGCTGACCCTTGGTATTGTCACCCAGTATATGCAAGATATTGGCAGCATTATCATCAAGCAATGGCTTGGTTGCAAAACCACCACCATGCCTACAGAAAGGCCATGGAATCCTATTTCAACTCTTTGTGGTACTTCTCCTCTGTAGTTTTCCCCCAAAACTACTATGCTGATCAAGGTGGGTATCCTGAGCCCTTCTACAAACAGCATCCAGACCCCCGAGACGCCTCCCAGATGTTTCAGCATTCTGAAGGGTCTGGACAGCTTTCGCCTGACAACCGTTGGAACCAGGCATCCGCCAAAAAGGGGAAGACTTGGTCATCAGAAGAGCAAACTGAAAGTGAGTCTGATGGGGAAATCCTTTGTGATGTGAGCAACATGGAGATCACTGAGGAGTTACGTCAGTATTTTGCGGAGACAGAGAAGCACAGAGAAGAACGCCGTAAGTCCAGGCATCCTGCCCTCCTCCTGTCTCCTTCCTTTGCCTGCTGTTTGTGTTCTTTCTTCCCTGATGTTACAGCTGTGAGATGCCATTGAGTCATCTCCAGATTCTAGTGACCCTAAGTACAACAGGCTGAAGCCCTGCCCCGTCCTGGCCCATTTGCACAACCTGTGGTGTGCTTCTGCCCATTGCTGCAGTCACTGTGTTGATTCTTCTCCTAACAGATCTTCCCTCTTTTGCTGACCCTCTTTTCTTTTTCAAGCATGATGTCCCTCTCCAAGGACTATCCCCTCCTGATAGCATGTCTAAAGTATATAAAACAAAGTTTCCCCTTCTTTGCTTCTAAGGAACACTCTGGCTGTACTTATTCCAAGACAGATTTGGTTTTTGCCAATACATAGTGTACTCAATATTCTTCGCCAGCACTACAATTCAAAGGCATCAGTTCTTCTTTGGTCTTCCTTTACTTATTGTTCAACTTCCACATGTATAAGAAGCAATTGAAAATATTCTGGCTTGGATCAGTTTTGTATTCCTGATGTGGAGGTATAATCAATCCATGCTGAAGGCTATATTCTTTGAACTTCATCAATAAATACTTGAAGTCGTCTTTGTTTTCAGCAAGCAGAGTTGTACAGTATGCCTATCTCAGGTTGTTGAAAGTTATTTAGAACTCCTCAAACGTTAGCTTCCAGAGCTGTTTAGCATAGCATGTTATTGTTAGTTCTAGAAGAAAGCGTAATCCTCATAACACCACTACTAGTCATTGAATGGCGGGCCTTCCACCAGCTGAGTACATGTGTGTATGTGTTATCCCTAATCTACACCATAGTCCCTTAAGGCATTAAACCCACTGTACGGAGCCTTCAGAGGCCTAGTGCCAACTGGTAGTGTGTTGGAAGGATTCGCACAACGGCCTGCCTGACTGTGGCTCCTGCCTGATGTTAGGATTTTGCCAACCCCACTAGGGTCCTTGGCATTAGAGAATTGCATTGATGGATTCATAGTTTATCAGGCAGAAGACAGGGTTTCCTTTTTTATCCTTTCTTCCTAACTTACTACTAAGAACTCATACTGTCTTTCCATTCTCCTGAGTATTATAACTCAGCAGAGCATTTGAAGTGCTCCTGACGGATAAATGCTTTTCTCCCTGTTCTCATCACTGTCTGTTTCTTACTATCTTTTCTTATGGTGATTTAATTGTGTGATATTTTGCCTAGAGTTTTCTAATACAGAGAAACATAGATGCCTGGGGATAGAAGAATGCCATTTCTATCTTAAGTTATCCATATTTTCCTAACAATGAACTAGCATATCTTGATCCCCACGGGCCCCCAAAATTGGGTTTTGTATAAAGTATATTCCCTTTTTTATTCTCTTCCTGGGATTATTCACTGAGTTATTCACTGGGGTTTCTTTGTTTCTCTTTTGATTAAACTGTTGCATTCTTTAATGCATACTAGAAATTGTGTCCAAACAAGTATCTGTAAGGAAGCCTTTTCTATATAGCACAGAGACTACATTTCTTTCCTTACATTCCAGCAAGAAATTTTACCTTTTCTCAATAGACATACAAAAGAGTTAAAATTACTTTTAGTATATTGTGATTAGTGAGAGTGGGCACTGGAGCAGATAGGTCCACATTTGGTGGGAGAACTGTTGATTACAGCTTTTGGAAAAGAAAATGTGATCAAGACAGGACTTCATTATTTCAACCTCACCAGCAGGTAAAAATCACATAGTTGATTCTTTTATGTGGAACTTGTACAAACAAGAGCAACCCTAGTCTCAGACAGCTGTGCAGCTATTTGACATTATCTGCTGACTTAAGGTTAACCTGATAGTTGCTCAATTAGGAATATAAGGATATTCTTATTAATGATAAGAATATTATTATATGGATTACATGGATATTCTTACTGATCAATGGTAATTAATGTTACTAAACAGAATATAATTGTATGGAAAAACTAATATGTTGTATGAATTTGAATGAATAATAAATTAAGAACTAAAATAAAAATAAATGGATATGAATGAATTAGAAATAAAATAATAAAATGTGCCCTAGCTAAGGATAGGGAGGTCTGGTAGCCTACTGGATAAGTTGTTGTGCTGCCAACCCCAAGACACACAGTTCAAATCCACTGGTTACTCTGTGGGAAAAAGTTGGGCAGTCTGCTCCTGTGTGACTTACAGCCTCTAAAGACCCACTGGATGGTCAGCCATGAGTCAGTTTTGACTCCACAGCACATAACAAACAACAGCAGCCAAGGAAATAAATGTAGGCAGTTAAGTTACAGATACGGTCTAGAATCATCTTTGTTCCTACCTTTTGCCTCTGTCAGGTATAATTCTAAGTAGTTAAACATGGTTCTGAAATTGATTTGCTGAGTTGTGACTGGCACTCAATATTTTTTGAAATGAATGAAGGAAATAGTTCAGTATTAATCTTAAACTTTCAAACCAGAGTTCTTAAAGTCATAGTTCATAAAGTTGCAAACTTGCTATAGTTCTGTAGGAATTTTACCAAGTGAATGAAACTTGAGATGACCTGTAAACTTTCTAATCCTGAGGTTTGGGTGGTTGTTACTCCACAATGGGTTTTCTTTATTTCACAGCTCCAGTGTACTGTTAGCCCCACTCTGAGCATTTCCATTGTTCCCAAAGGCAGGCTATGGCTGGGACAGCAAGTAAATGGCCTTGGCATTGGCCTTGGCCACATCTGTGAAGAAAACATCTAAAGAACAAGGTTGCAAAAGAAATTTTCTTAAAATCTTCACAACTTCCATCTTTAATCTTAGTTCACAGTATTTATGTTATTTGTTGTTAACAGTGGACGTTGGCAGCTGGCAGAACTGCTGAAATCCCAGGCTTTGCGCCTCCCTCCACTACACACTGGCTGCAGTTTCTTATCCCCTTCTCGGCCTCTTGTCTTCTTTATTCTGTGCTTCAGTCCCTGGGAAATGTGAATCATTGTTACTAGGGTGACAGATGCGAAGATAAGGCAGAAGTTTCTAGAACATACCTCATACAAATGTTTTCTGAAAAATAAGCCTCCTGCCCTTGAGTGGATTGCAGCTCAACAGGACGATGAAGAGCTGCCACATAGGGGTTCTGAAACTAAGATCTTTAAGAAGCTGACTCTGGTGGTTTTGAACTAGCAGCCTTTTGGTTCACAGCCCAACACTTAACCACTATAGCACCGGAGCTCCTTGTACAAAGTTGGTGCCCAGTTAGTTGTTGTTGTTAATAATCCACCCTGTCAGGTGTGTTGTTAATCAGAAACTGGTTCTTCTGTGATATGGTCTGCCTTGATTCGAGCTTGCCTGTAATTCTGTGTTTTTAATAAAGATAGTCCATGACTTTGAAAAGTCCATGCATTTTAAGCAGCACTTGCTTTTGACAGACTCCTGAGCTGATTTGAATTTGGAAACAGAAAAGAATGGTTTTGGTATCTGTCAGAGTTAGCACTTAACATGAATGGGTTGGAATAGCCATGGACGTGATTTTTAGCTGTTTCGGAGACCTTGTTATAGTTTGAATATTAATAGTAAAATACAGAAGCTGAGAGAATGAATCCACTTCTGTATCACTAACAACAACATTGGCCAACTCATCCAGCTTCTATTGCTTTGTGCTGTTAAAACAGGCAGTTCTGGCAAACTTCAGGACTCCCTGTCCCAGAAGGCCGTGTGGTCAAAGCTGAAGTCCCTGTGCAGCACTGCCATCTCCCACAGTTTCCTCACAGTGACGGCAGACCTGGGGACTGGTGACAGTGAGGACAGGCTGGAGGGTCTGGTTGACCTGGCTCCGCTTTTCCTACTCAAGGCTTGCTCCTTCTTAGCAGAAGCCGCAGGGCATGGGCCTCCCCCAGTAGCATGGTGGAGAGGAGGGTTCTGTGATCCTGTGACTCTGTGACTCTGTAACTGCACAGTGGGCCTCACACAGAGGTGAGGCTTCTCACCTCAACAGACCTGTGCACCCGGGGCAAGCCCAGCCTTCTCAGTGCAGACATGAAGGCTCAGGGGAGGAGAAGGATGGGCTCAGGGTTCCTGGTTTGTTTTTCCTCTTTGACACACTAGAAGCTATGCATTCAACATGGGTAAAATCGACTTGGAACATGAAACATTTCAAGAACATGAGGCTTTGCACAGAATATCACAGGCAAGGGAAAATGTGGTCCTCTGACAAATTGTAAGCTCTCAGTGTTGTTCCCGTCTGCAGGAACATACTCGTTAGGTAAACCTGCAACATCTGGGTCTTGCTTATTATTTTCTTGGGATCCAAGCCTTCAGATTGGACAGGATGTTTTTGTTTGTGAGTACTGCCCTTCCCAGCATCTCTAATTTAACATGTTTCACTGATAAAAACATAGAACATGAAGTAGGACAAAGAAGTCCATTTGTGTGGTAGGAACGCACATGCTTTTGATTATGTTGCAGATCATCATTTCCTACTAAGTCATTTCCGTTATTTCAGACTCAACAACATGGCTTATAGGAAACTAGGCAGTCTGGACGTTTCACAGGTCAGCTGTTTCCAGTTATTTCGGGGGGTAAAAGTATCTTGTTAAATTACATAATAATTTTTTTTTTTTTATTCATGAGCGGCCAGCGGTGCTGACTGGCAAGGTTAAGCTCCTAGTACTCAGAAGAGATGAGCAAAGGTGATCACCCTCCTAGAGAATAATCCATCCCTTAGAAGAAGCCCTCCCCTTACTGTTCCAAGACTCCAGGCAGAGGGTAGATGGTTGTTGGTGTGGATGTGGGTTAAAGCAGGGACCTGATCTCAAGGAGCTGAAGCCCAGTTAGGAAGAAGAGACAAAGTACAATTATGTATGAAACCTAGAAGAGCCTAAGGGAACGTCAGGGGGTCTACATGCCAGGGGGGTGTGCTGCTAACCCAAAGGCAGGGCCTCTGGCGGTTCAAATGCACCAGCAGCTCTGTGGAAGAAATATAGACAGTCTCCTCCTGTATGATTTAGAGCCTCTTGAAAA